TTTTATACAAATAGTAAAGCATTTTTAGGACTCGATATTATTTATAATCACGCGCACGCTAGTCTGGGATTTTTAATGTGCTATTTAATTACAAATATTTAAATTTGATTACAGTAGTTTTTATTAAATATTCTATAAGATACAACGATGCGCGTATTGGTAAATATTCTAATTGCGTTTAATCGGTAGCTTCAAACAGTTAATATGTGGCCCTATATAGGCCTAAATATTCTCAAAATATACGTTGTATAATAATGTCGCTTCGGCACCGGTTTTCGAATCAGAAAATGTCATTTAACTCAGAAATAAGTTACCTTTGGGCTATAATTTAACCTAGTGGGCGAAGTTAAATGACACCTGGACGCGATTCTGTAACCTAACTGGACAATAGTTAGCCGAATAAATACGTGTTTCGTGATAATCTCTTATAAAATAAAATAATGAAACAATTGTTCTTCATACGATACTCATTTCCTGTTTTATACGATCCGTAAATAGAGTCGAGTGAGATAATATTACGTTTACCCGAGTGTTATCATAACAATGCACTTCAACAGTGCAGGTAAGTACTCACCGAATTAGTTTTCTGTTGCTGATAATGTCGAATTATCTTTATTTTCCGTGAATAATCTATATAAAATGAATTTATTTCTACAGCAGAACGAATTATCAGTANATTTAAAATTCTATTCACGCATTTATTATACGCTCGATTATAAACAAACATATTAAAACATTTTAAAAGGAAATTACAGTATAAATAAATGTAATGTATGTTGAAATTGTATGCATATTATTATTAAAACAAACTCTACGAATTATTAAACTTTAAAAAAATGTACTGTAAAACAGGTAAAATTATTTATTAAAAGCATATAATAGCAAAACCTAACTTTACGTTTTACTATTTCATATATTTTAAAATTATGTTAAAGTTTGAAACTTTTTAAGCATTCGAAATCATTAATAATCGTATGCAAATTAATTAAATTAATGGGAGATTTTAGTACACTATTTACATATTTTACAAGCTATTTTGTAGCTTGTAAAATAGTACATTGTATTGTATGTATTGTAGTACATTCGAATGTATTGTAGTACATTCTGATAGGCCCGACTAAATTTTAGTCAACTGTTAACAAGAAAAATCTATAAATTTTATATTTTTATGGTTAGAAATTGGCTTTTTATTTTAATTGAGAATTTTCTAAATTTATTCTTCTCGTATATACGTTTTTATCCTTGACGAATTCACAAAATTTTGAATATTTTTTTTAAAATCTCTAATTATAACATAATTAGAAATTTAATAGATTTCATATAACACTCAATTAATTATTTTTACCAAATAATTTATGCAATTAAAATAATTTATTGAAATAACGTTCAATACAGACCCAGACTCGTAGCTACGAGGGCTATGAGATGGCTAAGCCCCCTCGACTTAGTCGGTAGTGCTCGTATGCAGTATATATAATTTATGCTTTCGCTTTCATCACGTAAACTTAGGCAACTGTTATCTATTTTTATATTTAACCTGTACCTAATGAGCCTACTGCTGGCTGAAAAAAAAATCAGCTTGAGTTTTTTTCAGTTTGTCCCTCTAGCCCACAATGATTTATTCCTGGCTACGGAACTGTAAAGACTATAAAATTTGTATTTTATGAACACTTAGAGCATTTTAGAGAATAAATGAAGAAACACCGTATTTCGAATTCAAACTAATCTCATCCTGGCGAAAGTCGCTTGAATTGAACGTTAATTGATTAAATTCAATTTAATTTAAAATTATAATAGAATAAATAAACAGAATTAATGAGTTAAATCATAAAAGAATCATAATCTTTTCTATGGTGGACTAAGTAAATATTATTTTTATCGTTAATACTAACTATTAAATAGGTAGCTTTATGTAAGTTGTATTTTATTTATTTTATTTGTTACAACTGAAAAGAGATATTTATAGCCTAAATGCATTTTGTAACAACAAATGGAATAATAAATATATTTATTGGTAAAACAGTACATCGAGATTTTTAATTTGTCGCTAGAACCACAACTGGATCTATTAGAAAAGGCCGTGGAAAGAGAAACGCTAGCTGATACCTATTTGATACGGAAATATTACGATTAAAAGAATTAATGGGACTTAGAATATAAAATATAATATTTTAAATATAACACAGCACTTACAATTATATTTCATTAATAAATATTAACTATTTTAGATCAAGTTTATTCTGATTATAAAACTTACAAAATGAACTTTTCAATAGTGTCATACGCTTTCTCGTAAGGAATAATAAATTTTATAAGGTATTGAGTTTTGATAACTTCAGGCAATTTCTGCTCCAATAAATTTAGTTTTAGGGGAATATCCCGTATTATAAAATAACTGTTTTATGTTTTTTCTTTCGCAAAATTTCCCTTAATTAAAAGGACATTTCACTCGAAAGGGAAATTTTATATTGTTTCCATTAAAGATTAAAAAGGTCGTGTACTACTACCATTTATAGACGTAAAGATATATTTTCGCTGCATAAAATACTCAAATTATATATTATGTTATATTCAGATAATTGTATTATATATTATACTGTATATTTATTGTTTTATAATTTGAATAGGACAAATTCATAATTAGTAGGCCTATTCCACGAAGATGTGACTAAAACTATTTAAAATTCTATTCACGCATTTATTATACGCTCGATTATAAACAAACATATTAAAACATTTTAAAAGGAAATTACAGTATAAATAAATGTAATGTATGTTGAAATTGTATGCATATTATTATTAAAACAAACTCTACGAATTATTAAACTTTAAAAAAATGTACTGTAAAACAGGTAAAATTATTTATTAAAAGCATATAATAGCAAAACCTAACTTTACGTTTTACTATTTCATATATTTTAAAATTATGTTAAAGTTTGAAACTTTTTAAGCATTCGAAATCATTAATAATCGTATGCAAATTAATTAAATTAATGGGAGATTTTAGTACACTATTTACATATTTTACAAGCTATTTTGTAGCTTGTAAAATAGTACATTGTATTGTATGTATTGTAGTACATTCGAATGTATTGTAGTACATTCTGATAGGCCCGACTAAATTTTAGTCAACTGTTAACAAGAAAAATCTATAAATTTTATATTTTTATGGTTAGAAATTGGCTTTTTATTTTAATTGAGAATTTTCTAAATTTATTCTTCTCGTATATACGTTTTTATCCTTGACGAATTCACAAAATTTTGAATATTTTTTTTAAAATCTCTAATTATAACATAATTAGAAATTTAATAGATTTCATATAACACTCAATTAATTATTTTTACCAAATAATTTATGCAATTAAAATAATTTATTGAAATAACGTTCAATACAGACCCAGACTCGTAGCTACGAGGGCTATGAGATGGCTAAGCCCCCTCGACTTAGTCGGTAGTGCTCGTATGCAGTATATATAATTTATGCTTTCGCTTTCATCACGTAAACTTAGGCAACTCTTATCTATTTTTANTAACTAAGAGATTAGAATATAAAAACCAGCATGGGATAAAAATAAAATATGTCAATCGCGTCTGGAAATGAGAAATAATCACTACATTACTCGAATTTACTGACCGACAAAACTCAAGAATTGCTTTGTTTTCAATAGGAACTCGTTCTAATTTTATTTAAAAATTTTACTAATTTATGACGCAAATTTTTTAAATGCCAAGATATAATAATTTATCAATACATCAGGTTATTTTTTTATTTTTTTTAAATCTCAAATATCTCGTCGTCTGTATTGTTTTCATCCGATAAGCCAGTTCATGCTTGATTACTGGACCGTAAAATTTAGAAGAAAAAATATAGTAATGTTAATATTGTTAAAGATTATTCCAAGATGGAGAAAAGTACATAAATTTTCTTTAAATAGGTCCTATCTAGTTGCGAAAGTTCTTTCGAAACTACAGGTATATAATATATATAAACGAAATAATTATTGGGGGTTCATAGAATGTTAGATATGTATTTATTCACTTATTTATAGAATAGAATGATAAATCAGACATAAAATTTACTTTAAAAATCATTTTTATGTTTAAATTATTCCTACGCTTAAAAAAATTGCATTCGAATTTCCAGAATTAAATGTATAGCTGTTACTAACGATAATTCTTAATATTGCGAAAGTAAACTGGAGCTTATCTTTAAACTTTTATCTACAAGAAGAACTATCAAAATTATCTTGAAAGAAATTTATATTAAACTTTACAGACACTTATGGTATTGCTAAGGAACACAAATTTATTTTAAGATTAAAATCTTATAATAAAGTTAATCTTATAATGTAAATCGGCAATATGGAGATAAATAAGTTCGATTTGAATAAATAAGAATACACGATAATTCGTAAGCGTTTTTATGCTTTGTGACGTTTTGCAGATAAAACATACAGAAATTGGTGATTATACGTGTCACTTATGCCCGAATTTAGTCAGCAACCAACGATATAACACAGTCTAGATTTCTGACATTTTTCAAAACGCCTTTGTATAGGCTTATAAATTTCAAGCATGTTTGAAGTATTTAGGTGAGTTTATTTTTCTACAACAGAAAGATTTTTCGGAACAGTATTTTCTTATATAATTAATAATACGCTGGTATTAAAAATGGCCGACTTTTTAAGTGTCAAAATTTAGAGATTTTTGTCATCCGGACGATAAGTACTCATTAATATACGTGCTGGAATGAAAATAAAACCAATTTTGGCCACAGCAATGTGCTCATTTATATTTATAATAAGAAACCTTCAAAAAACAATGCGCTTGATCGAAATTATACCACAGTCTGTATTTATGTCGGCGTTAAACATCGACTTACGTCATATCTCTCGTTACGTACAGTACGCTACATATTTTAATACATAACTTTAAAATTAAAATATATATGAAGTGAAATTAAAGATTTATAAGAATCATTAATAAATTATTAAAAACGTAAAATAATTTTTAAAAATATAAAATTTTATTTACTTAAATGATGAATGAATATTGTAGGTGGCGGTAGTTGTTGCCATGTTGTTTCTCTAAGTGTAATGACGTCTTAACGCTAACCGACTTCAATGACGAATTTATAGTTTTAAAACGTTTAATATCGAAGATAATCTTGGATTACATCATCGCAGACAATCTATACAACACACAATAAGGCGAACAGGTCAGATTTCTTGATAATATAACGAATTACATACCGTCTGAAAGGATCGAAGGAGCAGACGATAATCTGCTGGATGGTTATTGGCATGTTAGAGGCATCGGTTGTTTTTAAAGGAAGGAACTCACATTTGACATTTGGCCAAGCTTGTAAGTTATCATTAATTATGCAAAATAAGCTGGTTTTAAGAAACTTACAGTAGATTTAAATCTACTGATTGCTATTGTTACATTCTCTTTTACATACGTTAATATTTTATCTACCTGTACTTATTTTTTGATACTATATTCTCATAATGATATCATTTCATCAAGGTTTACTACTGTACTAGAGTTGTCTGTTCATTGTCAAGGTTTCAAAGAAGGAAGTATCCTAATGAAAGTTAGGTCTATTCAGCCTCAACAATTTAAAATAGAATTGATGATAAAATGATGGAAAGAAGTTATAATCTAGCTGTTAAATAATGTAGCCAAACAAAACATATATCTATGTATTAATAATAGTTTAGGAGAAATTGTTTACTTTTATGATTTAATAAATGGCTGCGATACTGGCCGAGTCGTATTGCCTGTATCTTTTCGTGGTGGTAACGATTGACGTTTAGTTTGCTCTCTTGATTATGTGGCTGATATCTTGTTGAAGATTATGTTGAGTGACATTTAATAATTTGGTTTATCTGTTGTTTAATATATAATTCTAAAAATGCAGTGGTCGACGATCGTTTAAGTAAAATGATGCTCCACGAGAATTTATTAGTAATTCAATTTAAAATATTTGTTTTCTGGGAAACTTAATATTTTATTAGTGATTTATGAATAATTTTTGGCTAATCATAATGTTATAATAATCATTTGCATTTGATCTATTTTATTACATAAGTACTTCTAGCAAATTGTGTATTTTGGATGTGATTGATGATTGGTATTTGATTTCTAAAGTGATATGTTTAGGTTTGTTAATTAGTTTAACTTCTAGCAAATTTTAAAAGTTTTATGAAAGTATTTTAATGTTTATTCAAAACCTATTAGATGATATATAATATAAATGATAATATAAATTCTAATATTTATTAGATTGTTTAAATTATAAATATATGTATACTAAAACAGACAACATCTTGTGAACATTTTAGTATGATTTTAGATTCTGATTTCTTTTATACTGACAGTTAAAACATTAAGGGTATGCATTTGAGAAATTTAGGATGTTATAACTATTATAAATATTTACTATACCATATCTCAAATAAGGAATAAAAATCACAAGTTATTTCTATGAATTAAAATCAGAAAGTAGTCAGAGTATAACGTTGAAATTTTACTATAAATGAACATTTTTGTTTGTATATAAAGGGTTTTCGGGTTTAATTTCCACAGATTAGACAAATCAAGCCTCTCAGGTGAATGGCTGACCTATGATGAATAAAATGTATAGAAAAGATTGAGATCTATGGGGTGTTTAAAAGTGGAACAGCAGTTGACTTTGAGGAAACTAATTTGGTCTCTATAGCTTGGAGAGCGCTGTTCGAGATAAATTAATTGTCGGTCCATACCGGGCATATGCAGTTCTCTGCATGTTCTTAAAAACATTCTGCTCATAAAAAATGTTTTAATATTTCTAAATGTTTAATTTAACTTTAATGTTTTAGTCTGTGGAATTAAACTTGAGGATGTCTGTTATATACAGATGAAAATGTTACTTTACAGTAAAATTTCAACATTTTGCTGGATTTTGGTGTTGGTGAGTGTTAATTTTAAATATCTACCAAGTTGTTTGAAGATTGTTCTTAATCAAAGTAGCACTAACATTTATCTTAATATGTTATACATTAACTTCAGTAAATCACACCACCAACATTAATAACCAGAAAGAAAAAAAATCAAAATGTTTTCAGCCTTTATAAAGCCATAATCACTGAAAATTTTTCAAGACACAACTAAGCATACACAATCAACCTATGGGGACAAGTATTCAAATTTCCATTGTTTTATTCTTTTGATATTCTTTTGAAGGTTCAAATTTAAACTTATAAAAACAAATACTTTCAACAGACAATATTAAATAAAAATCAATAAATCCAGTAATAAAATTTCCATTATGTCACTAAGCCAATAAACCAGCAAAAGAACCACTCACTTTGTAAAGCAAATGTTTTCGTCAATTTTTAAAAGGACATCTTCATGCTGGTGTTATAAAATCGAATTGGATGTTTTTTGAACAGTTCTTAATTTCAACATTGCTGTTGCTGATTGGTGGAAAGATTGTATATTCATCTTGCATGGAATGTGATGTTTCTGTTAAATTAATATGTATTTTCCATGGGTTCAGCATTGTGCTATCCTTTATAGTTTATGGCTTTTTTTCTTGCGGCTGCCTTGTATAACTTCATTAACTCCAGATATCTGATGTGTGATCTATCTGCTGTACTTTGTATGATTTTGACCTGATTGAAATGGGACTTTAATGTCTGGGTCCCTGGCATGTTGACAGGATTTTTTGATATGTTGGCTTGGTGTTCATTTAGATGGGTGGTTAATGTGCTGACATGTGGCTCCTATGTATTCTAATTTTTCCCTGTATTTCTGGTTCATAAGTGGGATGGAATATACTCCCAGTGAGTATTGCCAGGTTTGCAGATCTTTGGCATTTCTAATTAGATTAAATATGGATGGGCTTCTTTTGGGAGCCATATTGATGTTGTAGTTGCAGGCAATTTCTCTGTATATAGGAACTAATGTTGTATTATATGTTACCACCTTGTATGTATCCAAAGTGGGTTGGGAGCTAGAAGTGTTATGCTCATGTATAGCGTGATGTTCTATGAAACAATTTTTTAAAAAACTTCTTAAAAAATATTAAAAAATTATCAGAGACAAAAGCTTAGTAGGTTTTGTCTCTGATAATTTGTGGTTATAAATGAAAAAACAATGGTTATCTATATTGTCTTACCTTTTAAAGTTTTAATATTTTTAAGAAGTTTTTTAAAACGAGTAAAAACCACACCATAAATATATATGTTTTACTTATACAAAATGTTCTATGAGCCCTCTCTTGATTTTTAAAAAAATGATGCCAAATTCCTGTTCTCTTTGCTTCTAATCTGATGTGTGTATATGCTCTAGGGCAGTGTTTTTCAATCTGTGGATTGCGACCCCCGGGGGGTCGCAAAGCCTTACACGGGGGGTTGTGGGTAAAAGAAAAAGACAAATGTTTGTAGGTCCTACACTACAATAAAAAAAAACTACAATTTCAGTGAGAAGGCTGTATCTGTTTATTTTACAGTACAATTGGTTTTTTTTATCGATATTCAGGTCTCAACAGAAAGAAAATTAAATACGTAGTTTTTAAAATCACTGATATAATTAAACATGTAATCAACACCTTATCCTTCGCTGAGAGATTATTTTTATTAAAACAAAGTTTTCGATTCATTCATTGGATCATCTTCAGGTTAAATAGAACACTTCATAAATAGAACAACACGTTCAAATATTCAAAAATACAAATAAACCGATAACATAAAAATAAATAATACTTGTAAATAATACAAATATTCAAAATAAATAACATAATACCAATACTAAATATTAATACCGTCTGCCTAACTATATAGAGTTTACTATGTATCATACTAAATTTCATGTGCTTTTTGTNCACTTCATAAATAGAACAACACGTTCAAATATTCAAAAATACAAATAAACCGATAACATAAAAATAAATAATACTTGTAAATAATACAAATATTCAAAATAAATAACATAATACCAATACTAAATATTAATACTGTCTGCCTAACTATATAGAGTTTACTATGTATCATACTAAATTTCATGTGCTTTTTGTAAACTTTTAACCGCAAACTTCCAAGCGAAAGGAAGACCCTCGGCATCCCTTGCATTAATACATTTTTCTTTAAGTTTGCTTCTATAGATTTCTATCTGATCACTGATATAGTTTTAATATGGTCCTGGGGGGTCGCCAGAATTTTTTAACTTGTAAAGGGGTCGCGTATTCAAGAAGGTTGAAAAACACTGCTCTAGGGACTAAGGAGTTAAGTGCAGCCAGCCTAAAAGAATAGGGATCATAAAAGCATGATGGTATGAAAATGGGAAGATATGTGGGTTTCTTGTAAATCCCTGTGATGATGTGTCCATTATTCAACCTTATGTCTATGTTCAGGAAGTGAGATTTCCTTTGATTATCATTCAAGGTTGAGAAATAATCCATATGGGTTATTTTTGAAGTCATCCAGTAATTGTTGTATATCAGGATCATGATGCCATAAAATGAAAATATTATCAATGTATCTAGAGTATATAGTGATGCATAGGGAGGATGGAGGTTTCTAGCTTTTGATTGACTAACTCACATAAGGTGCCCAAAAGGGGGCTTTCCATCAGAACTCTCCTGTTTTGGATGAAAGTATCACCTTCAAAGATGAAAAATGTCTGCCAGTTCTAATATGTTAGAGTGGTAACTGGATGTGTTCTTGATGTTAGACATTAAAAAATCTCTTAAGAAACAAAAGCATTGTTTGATTTTTACTGATGGAAACAATGACTGAAAATCACATACAGTGAACCATTCCTGGCCTCTCAACTGAGCACCTGTAAGTCCTATGATGAGTTGTTGGGCATGTGATTGTATAAGGATATGAAGAAAGGCATTGTGAAATGAAATTATTGATAATTCTCTCTATGTGTATAGTTGGTGTAGATGTCTTATCTATGACATGTCGTAAATGTTTGCTGGATTTGTGAGTTTTTGCAAAGGTGGAAAATGGGGATATATGGGAAAAATGGTGCTGGAATTGTAGCATTACAAATATGAAGGATGTTGGCTAAGGGTGTGTTAGATGTATGTAGTACATTGGATTGTAGTTCAAGTAGAAACCATCTGGAACCATAGAACATTATGTTTGTTGTATGTAATTCCAAATGCCCACTCGGTAGGTGGATCTTTTCATGAGAATGATTTATTTACATTCGTCAGCTCTTACCACCACTACATAATTTGATTTCATCCACACTTTCGAATACTATAGATTTTTCTAAATTTTTGTATCATACTGTGGCCTAGAGTTGCATGTGATAGAGAAGAATGCCTTCCACCTGTATAGATTCTTATGAGGTTCATTTATGCTTTT